TCTCTTCAGCCCTAAACAGCAGTGTGTTATAAAAGACAAAAACAAGGTGGCCAATGCAAACAAATAACTTGTTAGGATTTTACAGTGACAAAGTAGTTTAATTGAACGTGCTATGATAGTTTAAACGAAAAGATTCGGATGTGAAGATCACATTTGTGTTTCACGATTTGTAAAAATAAATTCACTTGTTAATAACAGCCTAAACACGTGTTTTTGATATTAAAAATAGGTTTCTATGGATAGAGCAAACAAAATGTTGCTGTCAATGATGCACAATGTAAAAAAACACAAAATCTGACCTTATTTGAACATTTTGACCCTTAAAAATGACCTTTAAGATCAAAATCGAGGGTGGCATCACCCACATTTTTTTTTCCCACCATATGACTGACTGTTGATCTAGCAATGGATGCCTGCCTATTAACAAAAATGCACCCAAAGTAAAAAAATTACATATTGCTGGCTGTACTAATACAGAGATCGAGAATACACTTGTGATAATCTGTTAAATTCGAAATTAGAATGTCTTTATTTTACTCTTCGTGTTATAGGCGGGCGTTAGCCAGGATTTTAAAAGTTGTAGGCACGACTATCTGAGCGGAGTGCCACCATCGGTTAGGCGCGGAAGACGTACAAGAACATTTTTGGTTTTACAAACCCCCCAGATGGCCGAAAACGGCCCTTTCCGAGTGTTCATATCTGGTTCCCTGGGCCTCTTGCTACTTGAGACACCTCATTCAATATCACTTTTAAACCCAAAAAACAAACGAGTTAAAATAGTGTACGAACGATTTAAAATGTTAAAAAACTGACAAGATTGCGATCCTAGTCTTTTTCGGCGGGTCGTAGAGTGTTGAATGAAACGGCACGCCGATAGAAATGACAGCCTAGATGACAGCGTAGAAGAATAGGTCACCTCATTTAGCCAATATCTTGCGTTCATTCAATAGTTTTTCCTGTCTAAGACTTCTTAAACTCGCTCCCCAGCATGCTTATCGATTTGGAATTATGGGTGTTTAAAAACAAAGATACTTGGCCAAAAAAAGTGTCTTAGCCCGGGTCCTACAGTTGCTACCTACTGCTCTAGCGCCTGATAGGAGGCTACTGGAATAATCTGATTCAATGACGTCATAGACGTCGTTGCGCGTAGCGTGCCAGTGTATTGTTGGGCCACCGGGCGGCCTTTGGTTTCAGTCCTGAGCTTTCATTTGTTGGCTGATCGCAATAATTGATATGTGCCTTGCGAGGCGCTTGAGTTCGCTTGCTAATGTCTGTCTTCATTACCGGTCCTACGTGAAATGAGAAATGTCAGAAGGGCGATTATGCGAAATCCCGTTGACTCTTAGGGTGCGACGGGAAAGGGTGGTAGCGCGGCTGTCAGTAGTAGATAGCTATACAGAGGGATTGGAAACCAAGTTGGCATCACCTTATATCTGACGCGTTCCAACATCGCATCGGGCTGACAAGCCATAAGTCGTATGCATACGGCGACAGAATGTTGATGGTACTTGAGTTATCGCGGAGTTAGTATCGGCACTAAATCGGCGCGAATGCTCATTCACAAGTATACGCTGCGTGTGTGCAGAGCCGAGCTTACGGCGGCGCCATGCCACGGACAGCGCACTTATTGTACTAAAACTTGACAAAAATGCGAGTTTTCCGTAACAACAAAACTCACATTCTGTCAATCCGGTTCCACAGACTCGCTTTTGTGTGCAAATGTGGCAGCACGATGTAAGAAGCGCTACAATTAGGTTTCCAGAAACTGGGCTGGAGAAATTGGTCCAGGTCCATCTTGGTTTTCGGTTTGACCCAAATGGAGCCCTGCTTAAATGCCGCGGTGTGCCATATTGGGCAAACAAAAGCGGTCTTGTGAACCGGTTGACACGATTGGGTTTCGGAGTTTCTGTTGTTTAACAAAATTGAGTTTTGTGGGACAGGATTGACAGAATTGGAGTTTCTGTTGTGTTCACAAATGAGTTTTGGGGAACAGGATCACTAGAAGTGGAGTTTTGTGCTTCACAAATTGAGTTTTTGTGGACGATGACATTGGTTTGCCAATTTATTGTGTTGAGACAGAATCGAGTTGTGTGATTCACAAAATTGACTTTTGTGAGACAGAATTGAGTTGTGTGCACAAAAGTGAGTTTTGTGAGACAAAATTGAGCCCTGTCCTGCATGGCGGCCCGTACGAGCATGCCCACGTCATCGCGTGGCCCATCGGCAATCACTAATAGTCGGCAAACACACATGCGAAAAGCTTAAGCAGGAGAAGATCGAAATATAATAACCGAATGTACACACAGAACCTACACTGATCATATAATTGCCGACGCTTCTGTGAAGATACGGTATCGGGACAAGTACCCCTGGACGATCCCCCCCCCCCGGACATTCACCCCCGGACATTCACTCGCAGTCAATGACGCTCTTACCCCGGAGAATTATCGCAAGACGATACTACACTACACGGACTCAAAGTGATGATAAATAAACATGCAAAAGATCAATTGCATTTTACAGTTTTTTTTACAGGGGTGACTGTCTGCGGGTGATCATCTCGGGGGTGATTGCCCGGGGAGTGATCTTCCGTGGCTACTTATCCGAGAGTCAATAGCATGGGAGTAATCGTCTATGAGTGATTATCCAGAGGTAATTGTCCGGGGGTGATTGTCCCGAAGTTGATTTTCTGGGGGTAACTGTCTAGGGTGAATAGCATGGGGTCGTTATTCAGGGGGTAATTATCGGGAGGTAAGTTTCCGGGGCAATGGTCCGGGGGTGTGATTTCTCGGGGGTAAGTGTTTGGGGTGAATATCATAGGGGTAATTGTCCGAAAGGTAATTGTCCAAGGGGTGATTGTCCGGGGAAGGCGATTGCCCAGGGGAAATTCTCGGCGGTGGGGGGAGGGTGATTCCCCAAGGGATGATTCCCCACGGGGTGATTGCCCGGGAAAGATATTTCCCGCGAGTAATTGTTCTGGACCCGATCAGACATGTTTATCCGGCGTAGTTTACAGTTTCCTCTTTTCTGCTCTTAAACGTTTCAAACGAGTTTTGTACACGAGCGAATATAATTTGCATTAGTAGGTTTACCCACTACTCCAGGTTAGTTGGTACATACACAGAAAGTGTAATTCAAGTATGGCTCGGTCGTAATGGCTCTAGGCGTAAATCTTTCTGTATGTACGGGGCAATGGCTGCGGTGCTGGGGTTGGTATAACAATGATTTTCTGGAAATGCGATCCGCATGTGAGAGCGCTTTCTTCGGAAAGAGGGATAGAGTTTGTGATTTCTTTCTTTTGTGATTTTGATCGCGAACGCTCACATGTAACAATTTATGACAACCTATTTCGCTTAATCATGACAGCCTGTGTTCATTGCACTGAAGTGCATCATTAACAAATTAATCTAAATATTAATTGTTATGATTATAAAAACTTATCTGGATTTTTTATCGTAAAAAGCTTCTATAATATTGAGTTTCTATGTTTCGCATTATTTTCAATTGTCACTTTATGTCATTTTAGTTGATATTTTAGTCATTTATTATTCTTCAGATAATCATTTTAACATACAGTATGGGCCAAACGTTCTGCCCCTGCTGCATCATATTTGCGCATACACCAACACGCACTTGCTTGCGAAGTCATAAATCATTTTATAAATACCTACGTTTTTTATTATTTTGAAACATTTTATGAAGGACGTGGTTTATGAAGTCACGTGCTTATGCACCTTGTGCGACCCTTTATTATTCTCCTGTTATCCTCATGGATATAAATAGCAATATAACTCTAGTTGGTAGTATTCGCTACTGGGCGCTCAAACACAGTCGCGGGACAACGACTAGCTAGGGCTAAACCGATCATCTTCCTCGTTCTAGCTAGATCGAACTATGGTGACTTTTATAAATTTGCTCACTCGTTTTTTTGAGTGCTCGTGCCAGTAATCCGTGCCAGTGCCAGGATCTCCGCCTCCTTTAATTAAACCCTGACCTGCGGTTGACACAACAGGCCTGGAGCCTTGATGTGCGCCTAATCGCTCGATCGCCTTTCCATTGTTCATCTCGTGTTTTCTTTCAGATATAGATATTTACGACATATTTGCATTAGTTGCTATTTGTCACCAGCTTACCGCAAATACACGGCGTCAGCTTGCTAAGTGTAAAGATCATCTGCAGATAGCAGTGACGGTGTGAGCTTATATATTCTTGCTCCGGCCAGCTGTCCATATACGAATTTAGTCACTCGTTAGACAGCGAGTAGTAGCCAGTATGCCGGACATGGATTCAAACCACAAAATGGATAATGAACCGTCAAAAAAGGTGTTTGACTATGGAATGATATTGACGGCTATCGGGAATCTAGGAAGATGGCAGTTTTTAGTATTCGTTATAGTATGCTCAACGAAGTTGGCACTGGCGCTTCATAACATGATAATGCCTCTTCTGGGGGCCACGCCCGATCACTGGTGCAGAGTCCCAGAACTTGATGACCTGCCGATTTACGTTCAGCGAAACCTCAGCATTCCAATGGAAAAGGTTGACAACAAGCTTGTTTTTTCACGGTGCAACGTGTACGTCGCGCGAAATTACTCTGAGTTAGCAGAAATCTATCAGAATGAATCGTTTGCGAGCGTCCCGGCATCGTTACTGGGTAATACTGTGGAAGGCCAATGTCAGCATGGATGGATCTATGATATTCGCGAAGGTGGATCAACCTTGGTTACCGAGGTAAGTATTTTTAAACCTACGAGTGCAGCTGAAAATGTGAAAACAAGATAAGACTGTAAACTTACATTTGCTACAAAGTGTTGCGTGGAAATTATATCGAATATGTAGAAGGAACTATCGATTATTACAACTTTAACAGTGTGTATCGCTCTGGGTTTCGTATGTTAGATACAAATGAGCACAATATACTCATTGAGGATAGCATAATTATTACATTATTGAAGACTCATTCAGATCAGTAGGTTGCATGTTGCTCGCTAATGTTTCAGTGGGACCTCGTGTGTGGCAAGGAATGGCTAGCGGCCAGCGCACAAGCTATATACATGCTGGGTTTTCTGGTGGGATGCATCATACCTGCATATCTGGCTGACATGTACGGTTAATATTAATCATTACTTCAGCTTCACGTGAGACACCTAACCGCTCGTATACATGGTTCAGACATTTCACTGCTAAATATGGCTTGGAGAGTAATATGAGCAAACATTTAGAGCAAGCTCCAACCGACTTCATATTGGATTTTAAATAATATTTGAATCTTCGACAATATATCACTATAAAAAGCAAAACATACAAGCAAAAGCAAACAATGCATAAATAAAGCAAAAAAGCAAACAATACGAAAAATTTATGCTCGATGTTTAAGAAATTATCTATGTACTGGCTGTAGGAAAGGAAGAAAGTGGACGTTCATGGTCACATCTAGCGTGTTTGCGGTAAGCGCCACCGTAGCTGCGTTCTCTCCTAACTTCACATGGTTTCTGCTCTTTCGGTTCCTCATCGGAGCGTCTGGATCCGCAGCCGTTAACAGTATCTATATCTATGGTAGGTGGCGTAGTCATGATAGAATTTAATTGTGTAAACATCGTAATAATCGCCGGTTCGCCTTCATTATCTCGGCTGCAATAGGTATCGTGATATTCGCCTACGTCAAAACCTTTCTTATCAACAGGAAATTTATCGCATTTCCGATATTAAGCTATAATTCTATTTTGTCACCTGTTGTTGAACCGTACGCTATTTCTCAAGAATCAATGCAGAGCAGGTATAAGGGACAAGGAGTAAGCGTTGGAAATTCACACGGCTAACAAACTATCTGACTCGTGATGAGTAAAAATACTCATCTTTCAAGGGTTAGCATAAATATACCACGTTGAACTGTTATTTAAAACAATATTCACATTTAACATTCAAGTAATTTAAACCAGCAGTCAATCGTCATCAACGCCAGCGTGTCCACTAGCCGTATTATGGTGACGGTTTTACTACATGAAAAAGACCTATTAGTAACACATCCACTCAACCTGCTCATTTACTGACATAACCTTCTTGTCTGTTGACTCAGCATGTGTACGTTTTCCCCTCACTGCCTCGATGACTTTCTGACTAAACGCTCATAGTATTACCCTATCGATCTCTTCGTTGTTGCTATATTCTTCATAGCCAATAATAGTATCCAAATTAACACCTGGTTTATCAGACAATATTGCTGAAAGCTACGCGATCTTATTTTAATGACAGCGCAGTTAGGAAACATGTGTAGGATAGGAAGTGTAGAGAAGACAAGGACGCGTATATGGCTGCGATCGCAAAGGAAATGTTCAAGGTTAATTTTGAAAACCTATTTCGACCAATTATTTTAGATCGTTTTAAAGTGAGCTCTGCCCTTGTAGGGGTTCTGCGTTTGTTTAGCTCCGTCACTTAACCGACAACGCCACAACATTGCTTATATTAAATCACTGGTGTCTGCTGATAACTACGAAATAAATTGTCGTTTACAATATTTAACTACCGTTTACTAGCAAAGGATCCGCTCATGGTCAAATCTTTGTGTTCAGCGCTAGAGAATGTTGGACAACAATACAGAAACCGTGTGACAAGCGGAGTCGGAGCTGCCTACTGTCTGGGATACGCACTGGATGCCCTGTGTGCTTATATCTTTCGCGATTGGCGTCACCTTCAGCTAGCCATATCTGTGTGTCTATTCCTGCTGCCCTTGTGGTATTTGTAAGTGGCACATAATATGTAATATTTTCATATTATGGTATAGGAATTTGCGTATTTCTGATTAATTTATCGTTGTGTGTTCTCTTAATCAATTGTTAATTAAAACTATTGTAGTTATCAATTCATCCCAAACATCCTTTTCTCTTTTGATGTTTTCCTTTAACACAATAGTGCTGTCCATTATAGCACATGATGCCCATCTTTTAGCACTCTTTCCTGCAATATTTGGCTGACTTCCAATGCCTACGTCCAAAAAACAGACGATTTTTCGCGATATATGATAACTCGTTTCTGAATTTCCTTCATTATGCTCGAAGGTAAAACTTATAATCTAACGGATAATCCATTTTTTATTATAATTCTTTCTCTTATGTTTAAAAACATGTTGCTTGTTCTAGTGCGATACCAGAATCTCCTCGTTGGCTCTACGCTGAAGGTCGAGTAGATGACTGCGATAAGGCGCTACGTAGAGTCGCAAAGACAAACAAGACATCGTATCCAGATCATGTGCAGCTTAAACTAGATGCGAAGGTATTCAGGCAACATCGTTCCTGACATGATTGTCACCTTTATACCCATTTGCATCTTATAACAGAGTACAGTACAGTGGCGGATCCACCAAGGGGGACGCAAAAGACGCCCTCCCTATTTTTGCCCCCCCCCCCATTCCGCACGCGAAGCGTACGCACCGCACCGGCGCTATCACAAATTGCGCACCCCCTAAAATGAAATCCTGGCTACGCGGTTGCGCCCCCCCCCCATCTCAAAATCTTGGATCCGCCACTGCAGTACCACAATCCAGACCAACCGCAAATTGTGCCCTGCACACAACAAACGCATCAATGCAGGCTCTATTCCATCCAGAAACATATGATTGTCACCGCCGATGGCTCTGCTAGAGAACCCAACTTCACCGACATATTACGAACTCCGAATATGAGGAAGAATTCCATTAACCTGATGTATCAATGGTATGTAGACAGATACGTGGATTAAATGTTAGTTAGGTAAGGCATGGATGGCTAGGCAATAAGTAGATGTTTAGATGGTTAAACATCATTGTCCTGTGTCATTCTCACGTGCCCGATTGAGTCTGTATTTACTTGCGTGATATTGTGCGAATATGATTGATATTATCTATAACGACATCTTTGCGTTTAATATTACCAGAAGTGAATAATAGGGAATTATAGGGATATAGGGATATAGGGGGTCTCTATTATTTACTTCTGATATTACCCAGCGCAAAGTAACGATCTGTCTTTATATTTTCCTTCATGATGTAATTATATTATGTCATTTGCTCTCTTCATAGAGTCGCAAATACACATCATCCATAATAGATTGGCATTTTTGATATCATCTACCTTCGAATGTTTTCAGCTATATAAAATAATTTAACACCACACTCTTATATGTGCTACGTCTGTGTAATATAAGATTTCTATCAGACTAACAAATGATTTCCTTAATCTATCAACATTTAGTTTTACTTTACATCAAAAAAATTTAAGGTTTTTATTATTGATTTTTGGCTTCATATTTGACAGGTTTGTGGTGTCTATGGTTTATTACGGCTTGGCCATGAATTCTGCTAACCTCGGCACGGACCCGTACCTTAGCTTCGCTGCTGCTGCGTTAGTAGGTCTTCCTGGCAAGCTGTTTGGAGCAATTATTCTCAAATACCTGGGACGGAGGTTGTCTTTATCAGGAACTATGTTGCTTGCAGGAATCACCTGCCTCGTAACTGCATTACCGTGGCCAGCACGTAAGCGTCAGTCTATTAGGCTTATGTATACATAAAAAGAAATGTCGCCATACGTACGAGTGAGTTTAGGCCCATGAACATAATTGATATGACTTGCGTGTGCTCATGCGTGTGTGCATGCGTGCGTGCGTATGTGTGTGTGTGAGTGCGAGTGTGCGTGCGCGTGCGCGCGTGTATGTTGTTTCGAGTGTGTGCTGTACTATAACTTCTTTAATCACATAATATGATACTTCACACTTATTATCAACGAATATATATGTCGGTATTTCGCATACATGAATAAGACTACGTGAGATAGACATAAAAATCCATATAAGACTATTTAGCATAAAAAACATTAAATGATATCTGTCGCTAATACTGCGCTGTACGGTTTTCGAATGAAATTGATGCTCCATGGATAGAGAAAAATTAAATATGATAACATTGCAGTAACGCTGAATTCGAAGCTGATTCAAAATGACCGCGGAAATGGAAACATGGACGCCGTGAGCCACACCGGTCATATTAACCTGCCGAACTATTTGCCAGCTATTAGATGACACACGCGGGTCGTTGGGTTAAAGGTGTTGAACATTTTAAAATGACATAACAGTTTTAACTTCAACATTAATACTTGAACCTATATCTTTTTAATCTTTTACGCTCCATAGGCTTAAGATAATATCTTATATATACATTGTTGCCTGCTGAAACCCGTTTGAATGAATGGATGAGTACCGGTACAGTATATTATAACTGATCTAACGTAAAATAGGTTAACGCCCAGAATGTAATAACCCCTCTTATTAACAATCGCTCTAGTAATTGTTTTGATTACTTCTGAATTTAAATATAAAAGATTTGTTATTGGCGGCGTGTATTGAAGTGGCATTGAAGAGCGACATTTAGTTTTTGATAACCTCGAAATTCATTATTATCCTAGACTTCCTATTATCTTATATAACGGAATCCTCTTACAAACAAAATGTCTTTTGATTATTTCAGACTTGAATTGGGTCATTGTTACTTTGGCGACAATTGGTGTGTTTGCATCGACGTGCACATACGGCATTTGCTACCTGTACAGTGGTGAACTGTATCCCACAGTGATTCGCAACATTGGACTTGGAAGCAACTCTACATGGGCACGCGTGTCAGCAATTCTAGCTCCTTATGTTGCTTTACTGGTAAGTGCCACACTCATCTCACAACACTGTGTTACAATCTGAAGTGCAGGGTACCACGCAACTGTTTGTTTTTTTCAAAAAATTTAGAAACATGATTAACACATATTTTGCACGATTCGGGGTATCTTTGTATACACGTTCTTGTAGCAAGTATCTGTTAATAATTTTCGATTTCTAACATTGCTATGTATAAAAAATTTCCTGTTTTTGATCAAGATCGTCAATTAAACCAATTTTTCAGGGTATGTATAGACGTGAGTATCCCCTGCTCATCTTTGGAGTGCTGGCCATCTCAGCAGGCATAGCAGCCCTCTTTCTGCCAGAAACAAAAGACCGAGAGCTACCGGAAACATTAGAAGATGGCGAAAACTTTGGAAAGTGAGTTCAGATATTGCGATTGGTGCTGACTCCGAGCAAGCGGTAATTGCTTTGATGTGTGGCACCAGTTATGAATGAATGGGGTGGCTGCTGGTAGCTAGGACACGTTGGGAAGTAACTTGGGACAGGGAAGTGGCGGGCGAAGAAGGAAGTAGAAGGATACTATAATATTATCCGAACTATTCGGCTGACAGTTTCTAGTTTATTCGATAATTACTTTGGCATTAATGGCTATATCGCCCATGCCCAGCCCAGCGCAAAACAAAATAATATGTTATAGTTATTAGTTAATCACATGCAGTATAGATATTGTCTCGTTAGCCTAACAAATACCTTCACCCACACACATGCAGTTCAGGTTTTAACTTTAAATATTATAAGCAGGATGATACATTTTGTATATAATTGCGATTTATAGGCACCAGAAATTCTGGACACTGCTACCACAGACGCCAGCAAATGCCAATAAGAAGCACAGTAGCGCGATAGCACCTATCTAACAACTAGTGGTCTACTCTTTGTGCTGCTGGACCTGATACTGGTGGTCCGGATGATGATGCTCCTAATGATGATTCTGTTGCCCATGCCATTGCTACTGCTACTTACAACAGGTTTAGCTATTGTAACCTGCTGCTGCTGTTGTTGATGATGATAGTGGTGATGGTGGTAATGCTATTCTATTGGCACTGTTGCTACTAATCGTACGGTGTCCGCTTTGTTGCTGCAACTACAATTCTACTACCTAGTCTAGGCCAGTTGAAGTATATATGTACTTGCCACGTTTACGGATCTTAGGATGAATACAGCTCTACTACAGAACCATTAGTAGCTCGTAGTCCATTACTCGGATATCATAATTACAAGAACCTCACAGCGATACTAATGAGGAAAATGCGGGTATTCGTGTTAATTAAGCTGCCATCAAACCTTTGTTGGTTGTATATATTTTAAGCCGCAGCACGTGTTACAACACGTATACAAATAGTGATCAGAAGTTTTGTCGACCTCTTGAAATTGTGTGACTCTACATGCTCACCACAATGCCATAACGCATACCAGAATTTGCAGATCGAGATTACCGTATTTGAACAATCAATGTATCTCTTTTCACGTATGATATACACATTATTGACTGATCGCGAAGTTTATATTTGTTTTATTGATACCAGAGAACTGGCATGAGCCTTTATGCGCTAGTTGAGTAAGCAGTCGATTGTTCGTACACCCCTGCTGATTTTTGTTCACTTTTACCTAACTTTCACAATCAAGGGCATGCGTTGTACGCATATATGCATAGCAGCTACTAAAGTGGTCGTATTGATGTTATCAGGTGTGTCATAATATAGACTATATGTAGTCTATATTATGACACTCCTGATGTTATCATATCGGTTTAAAGTTATGGGCCACAAAGCCCTGATAATTAATAGCTATCTAAAAATATTATAGTGCTATGTCAGAAGACATATTACGGACCTTATATGCCAGACTATATTTGAGGTTTAGAGGTTACTTTACGACCCCGTTCATAGTATCCTGAGGAGCATTTTTATTCCTTGTGTAAACAAAGGAGCTTTGTTACTTACTAATTGACATAATACTATAGGGAATGAGTTGTTGTTGCTCAAAACAGAAAGCTAGTGATGTGGTTTTGTATCAAACACGCACTGATGCATACACACGTAGGAGCGCAAACACATATACGCACATACCCGGACGCAACGCACGCTTACACTCACACTCACACACACACGTACACACACGACATACAAGCGTGCACATGCGCGTGCACACATACACATACACATACACTCACCCACGCACACACACACACACACACACACACACACACACACACACACACACACACACACACACACACACACACACACACACTCACACACGTGCTCACACTGTGTGTGTCCCTTTTTTCTAAGCACACAAAAAGCAAAGACATTTACAGTGAACAAATCCTGTGAGTTTAACGCTTACAGCTTGAGAAATAAAATGTAAAATAAATGAAAAATAAAACGGACCTTAAGCGCAATAAAAATGTTTTTGTATGTTTGTATTTTTTCCGGGCAGATGACCGCGAGCAATTCGCCATTGACCATGTAACAGTATATCTATTTATCTCTGGGTAGCAACTGCCCTCTTGACGCCCCACGCTTGCCCCCGCTATCTACGGCCCTGTAAAATACACAAGACGCTTGCAGCGCGGATGTCTGTAGACGTTACCCGGTACGCGAGAGAGGGCGCTCCCGTCGCACCGCAGTAAATGAACTTTACTGATCTTGGCCCAGGCGTTATATTTAACATGTCATCAAGAGCTTATAATAAGTATTATACGTGCTTAATCGCGATGAAATACCGAGATAATTGTGTCGTTGTTCAACACAGGCGGAAATATCTCGCTAACGCCGAGCGGGATAATTCTATTATCGAAC